GGGTTTTGGTTTTGCCTTGTAAATTACTTGCTTATCATTTGAATGTTGTAATTTACATGGATATGGAGGATGGTATGCACCGGTATGGGACGGTGGCATACTAGGTATGGTTTAGCTCAAAATGCTAATTCCTACCTTATGGATTTTAATTGGTGAACAGTATGACTGGTTCTATCAATTATATGGACTTTGTGGATTGTATGCACCGGTATGGGACGGTGGCATACTAGGGACAGACTGATTTAAAATACTCAGTCCTACCTATTTTGGAATAAGGGAACGGGTTGTTAAATAAATCCTCCTTATATATATATAAGTCGGTACGGTTGAATACGCCGAATGACTTATTGGATTTCTTGTGAATGGTTAGGAACGGAGTTTAGATATATATGTTTATGGTACCACGAGTTGAGCTTGAGTCTCAAACTTGTTGGTTAGGGTGCGTATATGCAGTGGATGCGTAGTTGGTTATAGTAGGTTGGGTGTACCCTGTTAGGTCTAGGTACTCATGCCCACCTTTGGGTGCGTATTCGCATGTTGCCTTCTATTCAGGTTGAGATCCCTACTGTAGTTCAGTGAATGTCCCATAGTGTGGATATATATATGTATGGACTAGATAGATATTGTGAGGTATCTATGGTGTATCTGCGTATCGGGTCACTGTATGGATTGCAGTTAGATTAGAACTTGCTAGTGGGCCTGACCCACCCTTTTATTATTTTTTTTCAGGTGTTCGTCAGTTCTGGGCTGTAGAGCTTGATCGTGCTGAGCAGATACAGTTATTCACTCTACTGATGGCGTAGGATTTTATTTCATGTTAAGACTTGGGTTTTGTTCCAGTCTTTTGAGTACCATTGGTTTTTAGGGGTCCACTAGATGGATTCCCGAGTTGTATAAATTGGAGAACAATTTCCATTCTTGGTGGATCAGTTGTATCAAAATAGTTTTAATTATCAATGAAATTATTTATTCTGAGGTTTTCAATTATTGGATTATCATTCTAGGTTCTTTTCAGCAAAATTTTATTCATTCTTGTTTTCTATATTGTATTCTGTGTTCATTAAATTGCTAATTGTTTTGATATCCTCGGGTAATCGGGCGTGGGCCTGGCCAACCCGCATCCGGAAATCCGGGGGTATCACAGGCGGATTCTTCGGGATCCTTAGACCGACACTTTGGGTAGTTATGTAATTAATAGTTAGAGGGTTATATTTTCAATATTTGCATCATTGCTACTTGTATTTATTTTGTATTGATTATGGTTGATCACAAAGTAAATTCGAAGGCCTTCGTGTGTTTTTAGACAAAATGATTTATTATATATTTATTTATTTAAATTATTATTTTTGTCAAACAAATGTTTTATTGTGATCGAGCCAGAAATAATCAAAGGTACCAAAATAAATATATTAATTAAGTAGTCGGATTGATGGCTATATTTATCCGATAACTAATTATGCATAGAGGGGTCAAAGTGCAATATTGACTTAGAGGTTATTTATTATTTAATTGGAGTTCAATTAATTTCTTTTAGTGGAGTAGAAATTAATTTATGAATTAATTGAATTGGGTCCATGGACCGGGCCAATTATTAATTCATTGTAGCCAATAAAATAATAGGCCCAATGGATTCTCACTCATAGCCCAACTTGATATTGGAATCATATTAGATTTGAGACATATGAATTAGAGATGGAGAAGGATTTGTTGTTTCCTTTTCTTTATTTTTATGTTGCCTATAAATATACATGGTCTATGTATATTTTAGGGGGTAATTTTTATGAGAAGGAAAAATGGATAAATTTTCTCTCTCTAGAAAATTAGGGTTTATGGTCTCATCTAATAGAGGCTCCCACAAGCCTAGTTTTCCAAGGTAATTCATGGAGGCTTATGAGTGATTCCTAAATGCAAAATAATTACCAAGAAGATGGAGATCCAAGGAGAAGGCATCTTGCTAAGGGATCTACAATAAGTGAGAACATTCACTTTAGAGGAAAGTTTTAAAGGTTTACTCAGACCTTTGATGTAAGTATTCAATCCATTAATTGAATGATACATCATATTTTTATTTTTGCATAAAACTTGTCTCTATGTGATGAATCAAGATTTATGAATCAAAATCTCTCGAAAAGTTTTTAAAACTTGTACGTTTCCCAACAGATACACCATGTCTAGATATATATCTAGTAGTTGAGTTCTATGTGGACTCTTAAAAAAAAACAAAAAAAAATCAACTAAACTGATAGTCTGATATCTTTCAAATTTCGTTATACGATAACCACCACATAGATATATATATTATATGGATAAACATGAATTCAAAAATTAAAATATATATATATATATGGTTGTTACATTGTGGTTATTACATATTAACAATTTTTAAAGGGCAAATTACAAAAGAAAAAAAAAAAAAACAAAAATTGCTTCAATTATTTTATTTATACAAATAATCCTCGTGAATTAGTATTTGAACCAAAATAATAATAATCGTCTTTCATTTTTTCAAAAAATTTAGTAGTTGGTTTGTTTTCAATAGTCGAGAGGTTATGCAATTTGTCCAATCTTAAAATAACTAAATACAATAAGATTTTTGAAGGAATGGAGGTTTAATATATATATATTTTTTTGAAAGATAATGGAGGTTTAATATTTATGCAACAGAAGCGGACAAATCTTTTTGCTTCATTTACTCCGTAGATGAGAAGTCAAAAACAGGAATTTGTTTTTGATGGACAGTGGCCAACACATTTGTCCCACCATGTTTTACATTGTCGTCTCCCATTATATCCGTCCCTTTCCCACATCCACAAGCTGGGCCCACCATTGCATAAAATGCATGCATCCCCTTACATTTAAGTGTTTTTCTGTAAGTAAATTCTTATATTGAATGAGCCTTATATTCAACTTATTATTTAATTAATTGATTATATTCAAAAGGTCCTATTAAACAAACATGACATGATATCACTCTCTTTTTCGTTCATTTATTTTTTTCAATTTCTCCATTCAAAAAAATACGGCTCTCACCTTATTTCTTGGGAGTTTGAATTATCGGTGTTTTAAATGGTCCGATACCATCATCATTAATAGTGAGAAAAAAAAAAAAGAATTGGAGAGTTATCAATATTTATTAAATGACAAAGACATTGTTGAGAAAAAGATGACTTTTCCCTGACGAAATGAAAATTGGATTCATGTAAGAGGAGAGAGATTTCTCATTCTTAATCAAAAAGATATGTGGCCAAGAGGGATTAAGCATAACATAATTGACTGGGTGGTAAAGTCATGGAAACACTTATTTCTTTCATATTTTGGACTTTAGCTCCATGAAACTAGGGATGACAATTTGACCCATTCCCGCAGTTAGTCGCCCTGCTCCGTTTTTGGCAATTTTGGAAAGCCGTTTTGCTTATATGGGCGGGAATGGTTTCATATAATAAAAATTCGCACGGGTTTGGTGCAGAGGCGGGGGGAGATCGCCCCACCCTACCCCGCCCCGCGCCGTCCCACATCGTTTAGATAGATAAATTACTTAAATACCTTTATTTCAATAATATATACATTTACCATTATATATTAAGTACCCTATATAATAATATTAAAGTAACAAATGAATTTGATTAAAAAGAAAGTTATAATGGTGAAGAATTGAAGATGAGGGGAAAAAAAGAAGAACAAATTTATTTCAACAATAAATAAATTATGGTCTTAAACGGGGCGGGGTGGGTACCCGCAGGGTAAAAATGTTAAACGGTTACAGGGATGGGGTGAAAAGTTTTCCCCTTTTTGTAGTTTTGGGCAAGGATGAGGGCGGGGAAGGTACACCCGTCCAAACCTGTCCACGTTGCCATCCCTACATGGAATAATATGCTATTGGAACATGTGAAAATTTTAAAATTTCTTATCCATTATAACCTAGATGGCCGATTTGATGACATAGAGCTCAATGGAGCTACTAGAGCTTCTAAAAGTTATTTGTGATGCATGCTATAAATATATTTTCATAATTGAGTTTCTTTTTGCATTTTGTCTCCGTTTGTTTGGACGTAAAATGTTTTTCTTATAAAATAATTTTTAAATAAAATATTTTCATGTAAAATATTTTTTTATTTTTTATTTTCACATTTTGGCAACGATTGTAAAATATTTTCTACAACGGTTTTTGTGCACAATTTATTTATTTTCTACAATGGTTTTTGTGCACAATTTATTTATTTCTTCAATGTTCCTCAGCAACGGGAAAAAGTACCCCTTAAATCATCCCCCCTCTCCTTCTCGCTGCATTCTCTCTTCGCTCTATATATATCAAAGCATGTTCTCAACCTAAATCTGTTCCTCCACCTATCCAAATTTGTGTCCCTTTTTCTTTCTCCTTTCTTCCTCTCTCATCTCACTTTATGTATACATACATAAAGAGAAGACTAAATATTAATTTTTTAGATTGAGAGAACCGAAAAAAAAAAAAAATTAATAGAGGGACGTCAAAATTTAATAAGAATAAGAATGATTAGATGACCCAAAAAAAAAAAACTTTTTTGATAAATCACTTTCAGTCTTTTGCCGTAAAATGATTTACATAGAAAATAATTTCCTAACCTTTGAGTTTCCCACACACCTAAAAATAATTTCTGAAAAATATTTTACAATGAAGCAAATTGTCAGTAATTATGATAATGATACTCCGTACATGCTGCTAAGCCCACTTAAAACACACTTTCTTTTTCCCTTTTCTTTTGTTTAAATTGTTTCTGGATCATCATCCATTCCTTTGTTGGTATCACACACATGCTTTCATGAAGCTTAAATCCTTAATTGCCTCCGTGTGAAGACTTGAACCCTTAATTTCCTTTTGAAAAGTAAAAATCTGATACCACTAGGTCACAAGCCCGTTTGATTATCATCAACTTTTCTCTTAGTATAAGAATTAAATTGTTCCTTATTTGGATCCTCTATAAACGTAGAATATAGAGATCGATAGGCAATTGGAGAAGTTGAACAAAATAGATCCTTCACATTTCAGCGTAAACAAGGTACTAACATGTTTCTGTTCCAGACAGGTATATGAACGTTTGAGGACACAGTTCCAAAAAACAAAAAAATCTGTGCTGGAGATGTGGGGGTTAAAACCGTATATAGAACTATATATACTGTATGATAAACCCAAAAAAGACATCCATGCATAATTTATACTCCGTGGCACGAGGGAACACCCGATTCGACAACGTAGTTCAGCCTCTCCACCTCCTCTTCCCATATTAACTTGGATGTAATTTCATCACATTCCGGAACATATTCCTGTTACACCCATGAATATGAAATTAGAATCATTTCTACTTCATGAAAAACACATTAACACAAAATATGTTTAGTGTATGTACTGCAAAATACTTGATTAGTCATAAAATACAAGAAACCATTCTTCTCAGCTTTAACTGATTCAGAATTCGTACTTCAGAGATTGGTCAAAGATCTTCTATAGTTTAATTAAATTATGATATAATTATATATGGGATGAATCTATATACCTCAAGTTCTCGGACCAACTGTTTGGCAGTTGGAGCAGACACGATTATGCGACGTGCAGTGGGTGAGATAAAGCCTTCATCGACGGCCTTATCAATGAAAGACAACAAGGAATTATAGTATCCTTCTACATTCAACAGGCCCACCTGCATAGAAATATATGATTCAATTATAATATTGAAACACTATTGTGTGAATAAAACATAAAACAAATGGAGATTTCTCCAATCCAAACTCCAAATGCTAAATCTTATACTATCTTTACATGTGAAACACAAGAAGTACCACATGCATTGATTCTAGCTTAACAAGCCACTACCTTTGAATCTATCACACTCGATGTTATAGCTCAAAATCCTCGCAAATATGATTTTCGAGTAATATCAATTTCAAGACGACGACGTGTCAAGAAACATGCCAACATACCATGTCAAAACGTAAAATTGTAGACTTCATCTTATGGAATGCCATATTCGACAGTTGAATGACTAATGACAATAGTTGGGCAAATTAATAAAAAAAGAAAAGAAAAGAAAAACTAGTAGCAAGCCTCATTGTTCCAACAAAACGTGCCTTTTATTTCCAGTGGAATCATTTACTAAAAAATATGGTCAAGTATCTTTACATGTGAAACACAAGAAGTACCACATGCATTGATTCTAGCTTAACAAGCCACTACCTTTGAATCTATCACACTCGATGTTATAGCTCAAAATCCTCGCAAATATGATTTTCGAGTAATATCAATTTAAAGACGACGACGTGTCAAGAAACATGCCAACATACCATGTCAAAACGTAAAATTGTAGACTTCATTATATGGAATGCCATATTCGACAGTTGAATGACTAACGACAATAGTTGGGCAAATTAATAAAAAAAGAAAAGAAAAAAAAAACTAGTAGCAAGCCTCATTGTTCCAACAAAACGTGCCTTTTATTTCCAGTGGAATCATTTACTAAAAAATATGGTCAAGGAAAACTATTTATATATGTCTGCATGTACATTACAACTCCTAACAAGCTATGGATGCTGCAACAATTCTAATCAGAAGATCTATAATTCCAACTAGGGAAAGATCTATTGGATATAAGGAATGGAAGGAATTCCTATATGACACATTTTCCCCGAAAGGGTTCATTACCACATTAATACGAGTAATACTTTCCTTAATATCTTCATTTGCCAACTTTATATTTGATATTTTTAAAAATATTTTTGTTTGTTGATGAGAAGCACATATGACATCCTAGAGTTTTTATAATTGAAATCAAATTTGGCTCTTTATTTATTATTATTATGTTTTTATTACCATGATATTAGAGAAAATATGAGTGACAACTTTTTATAACCAAATAGAAAACTAATGCATGGTTTTTTCTTACAGGTTTTCGGTGGATTCCAAGCTGAGCCCAGGTAATGACTTCCAGCAACTCTTCAAGGGTGCCATAACCACCTGATATCATTTAGAAATTAATGTTCAAATTAGTTGCATAGAAGAATTTCGAATTTAGAAGTATAAAGGAAATTCTTTTTTACACTATATAAAAATTTGAATCCATAGAGATACCAGGTAGGGCAATGAAGGCATCGGCTTGACGGGCCATCTCAGCTTTTCTTTGGTGCATATCGGACACAGCCCTCACTTCTCCAATAGTATCACCAGTTATCTGTTGTAACACACCATGTCAATATATTATTAAGTATAAAATGTTTCAACATATATATAAACTAGAAATCATTAATGCAAATATATGGATTTTCTCAGAGAAATTGAAAGAAATGAATGATATAAACACATCCACTATCATCACTCAAAGACGAGAAATTGAATTTCCGAAAAACGAAGAAGACAGATAGTAAATGCAGATATTGAGAAGATGTCCCACCACCAAATTAAAAAAGGGAAAATTAAATAAGAAAAAAAAAAGAGAGAAAAGAACGGCCAGTAAGCTCTATTGTACTAGAGTGCATGCATTTATTACATTGTAACATTCCACACAACAATCCAAAACAAAAAAGAAAAGTATTTGATTTGGAGTTTCTGGTCCTACCTCCCTGGGCATGAGAGTCCTCGGAATTACTCTGCAAAACATCCACAAGAACATAAATTAGTTTACTACCCAATTAAAAAATAAAATAATAATAATAAAATCAACAGTCTAATAACATAATGATATTTTCAATGATCTCTAGGCAATGTCATGAATTTCCGAATGGTCTTAGCTTAAGATTCAAGGTTTAAAGATCAAAGAGGAAAAGTTGAGTGTTGAAACCCATGCACTATAATTTGGTCACCCTCAATGAAATTCCTCATTGCTCACTGTTGTGTAAAAGTGGATCAGTTTTATGAAAAATCAAGAATGACTGCATAAAAAGGTGACATACTTTTTAGGAAGCCCTTTTTGCAATTCTTTGTAACTAGAAGTTCCAGTGTGGACTGACATTTCACAGACCAAATTGGATTTTTTCTTTACTTTACTCATCATAAAAGCTGCCCAAAGCTCCATGCTTTTTGCAATTCTTCGTAACACTACCGCTAAATAAAGTAACACACTTTTAGATTTTTACTGTTTATCAGATAACATGCTTTTTACGTATTAAAACCATGTTCACCATCTCCAAAAACACTTGTGTTAGTCATAAATGAAATCCTTTTGCATGTTTAACGAACAAAAATAAATAAATAAATGCACAAATCAAAACCCTCTTAGGTTTAATGATGTTTGTTTTTTGAAGCTTCCTATCTTTTACTTGACATTTACTACTTGAGACTTAAACATAATGCGTGTGTGTGTGAGAGAGGGACATTACATACCCTAGAACATGGCGCCCACCATCATGAACTGCCTGAGAAACAAGACCCATGAGACCCACGCTGCCACCACCATAGACCAAATCAATCCTTCTCTCCACCTTCAAAACACATCGGAAATCAAACCCCATTAACACGTGTCACAAACCCATGATAGCTAAAAATTACTTTATTCAATAAACTAAACTTTATAATCATAATAATAGCAATAGGTCTCAATTGAATTTACAAATTAAAACCCCCTATGAGGCTAGTATTGAGTAATGTGATCAGTGCGTGTGTTTGTGTGTGTGTGTGTGTGTGTGTGTGTGTGTATATAATTGATACTATATAGAGAAGCCCCATAAACAAAAATGATGGATGGTTGGTGATGGAGGGTGGTGGAAGTGCCAAAGAATAGAACACGCTTAAAGGAGGAGTCATCATACCAAGGTGGCACGTTTGGTTCCTTAGAAAATTAATTAATTTATTTAAACCCCCAAAAAAAATATAAGAAAGATCATGCAAGAAGGCTGCTCAACTGACAGGCAGGTTACAGCTAGCAATCTCATACTCATGCCAAAAATAAACCCTAAACCTTCCCCCTCCTATTTCAACAAACAATCATATTCCCTCCCACGTTCAAAGCTTACAATACCCACTTGAGCAAACAAAATGCCCAACAATATCTTCTCCTCCAACTTTATTTAAATATCCATTACATACACCAAAGACATAAAAGAAAAAAGAAAAAAAGGAAATTAATAAACCAAAAAAAACAATCTTTTCATTAACTGAGGTGAATACCCACACAATGATTAACAAGGAAGAAGATGCAAAAAATGTTCATTTACCCGGGAAAATGCACCATGAAGGGAAAGTTCTATTGAAATCCAGAAGCCAAACATGGTATCTTTTATTGGGTTTGCCGGGGACAGGCTTGAATGCGTATTTGATGAATGAAAGCCCAAATGAAACATAAAACAAACGAGGGTGTGAAATATAAAATGGGTTTTGGTCACATTAGTTTATATAACAACATACAACAACTAAGTAATCCTAAATCTCCGCGTGTGTGTGAGTGTGAGAGAGAGAGAGAGAGATAGAGAGAAAGAGAGAGAGGTTCATTGTTGTTACCAGTTCTTTCCCTAACTCAACAGCGGCGTCTTGGTAACTAGCTTTCTTTCCTGGGCTACTTCCGCAGAAAACACAGATTCTATTAAACCTTGACTTCGTCTCCTCTGCCATTGTTCTCTCTCTCTTTCTTTGTGTCTGCCTGGTTGTCTTTATTTTTCTCTCTCTATAAATAAGGGTTTTCGATCTTGAGGTGAAGAATGGAAGGGAGGTTTGACAATGAAAACAAAGTGAGTAATTTGTTTAAAGGAAAATGCTATGTGGCCCCTTCTTTTGGCTGCATCCACGCCTTTCCTCCTACCCACATCACATCACCATCACATGTGGAAGCAAAGCAAGGACTCTCTACAAATAAACTCTCCCTCTCCCTCCTTTCTTTTTTAAATATAAAAACAATCCACGTTCAACGTTCAACCCTCCAATCTCACTCATGCCTTGCCTTTTTATATCTGGGATTTCAGCCATTAATGTTACAAACGTTACGTTTATTTAGGAGTTATATTATTGTATGGATTCCAAAAATACCACATAGTACCTGCACAATAAAATTGTTGCACAGTGCGCGGTGGATTAGTGTAACAAGGATTATTTGTCCCACATCAGAATCGGATGGGAAAGTGATTGGGTATAAATGGGTAGGTATGTAACACTACCTAATAGTTCGAGCTTTTGGGTAAATGGGCAGGTATGTAACACTACCTAATAGTTCGAGCTTTTGGGTAAATGGGCAAGCACCCACCCGTTATAGTTGGTATCAAATCCAGACCCAATCTTTGATCCGGTGTCACACTAAGCACCCGGCCCGGAAGGCGTCCGGGCTAGCATTCCGGGTAGGCAGAGTGGCCCGAACTGCAACGGGAGCGTTGCGAGTTTGGGTGGGGGAGAATGTAACAAGGATCATTTGTCCCACATCGGAATCGGATGAGAAAATGATTGGGTATAAATGGGTGGGTATGCAGCACTACCTAATAGTTTGAGCTTTTGGGTAAATCGGTAAGTGTCCACCCATTACAATTAGACACATCAAAATTATATGTGATGATGTGATTTTGCATTATTTATCAAACACACCAAATATATTCTCCAATAATATATTTCACAATATAATAAATTACTTTTAGGAGTATTTAAAATTCATAAGAAGAGTTACTTTAATAAGTTTTTTTCCTTTATTAATTAATCGGAGATTTGGAGTGCAAATTGAGTGGATTAATTAATCCCAATTTGATTTTAAGATAAGTTTGGACAATTTTTCTTCTTACTAAGATAAAATTTGAGTCCGGCAATGACAATCCAAATCCAAACTATATTAATATTAGAGCATCTCCATATTTTGTGTAAATATGATGTGTCATAATAGATTTAAATGAAAAATTTATACTACCTATTTTTAACTCCTACGGTCATTTTATACCTTTTGTGTAAAAAAATATCCCCAATAACAACCAAGCACGTGTCATACCCAAGGCCCTACATAATTTTTATAAACTTACTTGATTCATTTACTTTTTGGCGATTAAACCTCAAGTCCCAATAATAATTTCCCCCTATATATCATTTCCTAAATAAACAAAAAATATGTTACAACAATTGCGATTGAATCGACTAATCACCAAAAAAGAAAAAAAAATAAAATAATTTGTATAATTGTATCAAACAACAATTATATAAAATCGTGATTAATATATATATCTAATCTTTGGTTAGTACATATTTATCTCATTAGAATAGAATGTAAAAAAATATAAAAATATAAAAAAAAAACCCAGAATCTACGACGATGATTACAGAAGATAAAATGAAACGAAAGTGATAAATCAAACTATTTTTATTTAAAAAGAAAAATAAATAAAAGATGGTTGAACAGTTCTTAGTTGCCGCCAGTTGCAGATTATTCTTTATGTTGCTTTAAAAGTGAGAGACAAAGAGGGGTAAACGAATGAAAGAGAAGAAAGAGAACCGAGAGTGGGAAAGGGGGAGAAGAGAGAAAATATGCTTACGTGGTTATGTAAAAAAACTGTGTAAAATACACAACTCTTTTACACATTAGTAATGTAACAATGTATCTTAAAAGATGAGATAAAAAAAAATTATAAATTAATAAATCATATGTTGCAGTGTATATTTTACCAAAAAAAAAAAAAATTTAACAGACCGCTAAAAATATTCTTAGTAATAATAATTATCTTCTCATTCAAACATTAGGAACTCAAATCCAATTGCATGCCTAACCTGAGCAAACCAAATCAAAAAACACTTATAAGATCGCGGCTCAAATGACATGGAACTTAGTTTTATAAAAAAAAGAGCATTGATTGTTACATAGGACTTTCACAGTTGCCTATTGCAATAAATACAAATTTTTATCAAAAACATGAGATGTAATCTTGTTTTTATAAGTGTACAGTGCACCGGGGTAGTTCGATATGTAATGTTACCTTTTTTAATTTTTTCTCAAAATTAGAAGGTAAAACTATCAAGTCTTCGCATTTTTAAGCAAAAGATTGAGAATTTAAAATTTTACTCCCTTCTTCTACGAAAAAATTTCCAACAATTTTTTTTTTCTAACCATTCCAAAATAAATGTTCCAATTAAAAAGTCAAATCATATAATTTTTTTGTAGAATTACTAATTTAATTTTCATACATTGAACTTATAAAAAGTAAATAATAATAAATTTGATAATTCATTCATTATTAATATAATAAAAATTATCAAAACTTTTTTTTTTAAATTTTAAATTTTTAAAAAGAACTAATTTTTTGTGAAACAAATGGAGTATTAAATTAGTGGGTGAATGTGTTATTTGACAAATATATATATATATATATATATATTATCCATAAATCAACAAAGTAAAAAAAAAAAAAAAAAAAAATAACCATACATCAACAAAGTTAATAAAAAGAGAGTAATTCATGAGTATACACAAAAAAGAAGTTAGTCCACGTGATGGCTTTGAACACCGCAAGAAGATGGAGGAGTAGGAGTGGTTAGGGTAGACAATAACTCCTCCGACAATGAGAGTGGGCACTGGCTTTGTTATGCCTTGGAAAATGAAAATACGTTGTCAAGGGAATGATTACATGTTTTTACTGACATTGTAATTATTGCCCCTTTTGCTTGATTCATGCTTTGAGATGGATTGATTGATGTGCTAAATTTTTGAGAAACCAAACCCATCAATTTTTACTTCATCACTAATGAACTGTTACCGTCACCTACCGTCAGTTTATTATTGGAACGTCACTCCTACTAGGATCAATAGGAAAACCTCTGTTTTCTTGTTTCGCTTTCTCTTTTTTTCAATTTTTGTTTATGATTTTTTTAATGTCTTGATTCACTAAGTTGAAATTAATTATTTAATTATTTTAAACAAAAATAAAAAATTGTGATAACTTTAAGCCTTCCTTGATTTGTAATTATAAAAATAATTTTTTATTATTCAAAAATTAAAAATAAAAAATTATACAAAAATAATTATGTTTGGCTCAGTTTGTTGAGAACTGTGTTTTAAAAATTCATCTATAAAAATATCTTCTTCCATATAAACATTTTTTTATAATTATTTAAAAATAATTTTCTATTATCTAAATTCATTAAAATTCTTTTCAGAATAAGGAATCAAACAAGTATTCTCTCCGTCTCAAATGTGAGCACTATTTTATTCTAAAACAGTGATTTAAATATGTAAAACAAGCTAAATAAAATGTATTGTGAGATTGAAAAATAAAATACAAGGTAACTAATTAATTTGTTTCTTTATGTTAGTGTTTATGCAAAAATACTAATTTAATATTATTTTTTTGGCTTTTTTTACAACAAACGTGAACCGGTGAGTCCCGTGTCCACTCAGTGTTGTTATCATTGGTATGGACTAATTAAAAAAAAAAAAAAAAAAAAAAAAATGGGTGGACATTTTTATCATTTGTATATGTGTTATCCATGTGGATGGATTTTGTCTTGTATTGAATGGTCTACGTTATTCACGCGGGTAATTGTAACTGTGCAAAGCGGGGAGTCCCGTGTCCACTCAGTGTTGTTAATTAGTATATACTACTCCGTATATCAACGAGAAAAAAAAAATAATAATAAAAATAAATAAATAAAGAATATAGGGAAATTTGGAGTGGTTCAAAAAATGGGTGGACAGTTTGTTTAAAGTCATGTGCACGATTGGATTGGACAGAGTTAGACTGCGACTTGGCGTTGCCGACACTGCGTTTCTTCTCGTAGCCAGCCACCTTTCTCGGAATTGATGTGGTGGATCAATCATGTCCGTCGATATGATTTGGTGCATTTATGATAAACGGCGGAAAGTAATGTAGACATGACCGTATATGGAAAAAAGAAGATACAGTACATGATCTGAACCAGGTTGGTGGCTAAAAGTAGGAGACCAAACAGACTCATTCGGATCATATTCCCACTCTCCTCTACACTTCGTCTTAACCACAGATGTCACTATTTTGATATAACCATTTTATTTTATTTTATTTTTTTTATAAAAAAACACCACCCAATGTACCCATCGGAATTTGTCCCACAAATGGGGACTTTATTAAAGAAAAAATTCTTTTATGATCAAGAAAGTAATTTCAGATAATCATTATTTAATATGTAAAAAAATGTGTCAATTTTATTTATATTATTTACTAGTCATTTTATTTTTTAAAAAAATGACCCGCTGAAATGTAATTTTGAAGATGTTTGGCATAAAATTGGGAAAAGTGCACACAAATGGTGACATGTGGTTTGCTAGGTGCAGTGAGCTGTTGCTGTTTGTCCAAGTTGGCACTTTAATTGCGACCTTTGTTTGACGGACTTAGTGGGGTTCTGCTACAGAGCAATGGTGGATGTTGAGGATTGGATAGAACTCCCATCAAACTGGATCCCACACAATATTTGGGGAATAAAAATCTTTCTAAACTAATATATATATATATATATATATATATATATCTTGAATTATTACTAAAATTTTAATTGGATAGAGATACTCTGCACCTAAACACTGCCAAAACAATGGAATCAGTTAAGTAGACCTTAACCAAGATCATCCAATATGTATACTATTTAATCCATTTTTAGAATTTATTGAGATTGTTGGACATAGTCAAAATTTAAGCGGCTCATGGAGTTGTTATGGATGATTTCCATTCTCCACCCAGTCAATCCACTAAGGATATGCTC